GTAGAAAAGAACACCCTTCTCGAAGCTGATTACCAGTCGTCGCCTACTTTTTGCTCTGAAAAATACAGAAATTTTAAAAGTAATCCAACATTCTTTTAACAAAAGTACTTATTTTAATTTTTTTAACTTCTCCGGCACCTCAAGGATTTATGGGCTTATTCTCAAACTTAAAAATACATAATTCGGGCACAGATTCTCCTTTTTTGGCCACGAATTCACATGCCAAAACGGAAAGCATTCGTTCAGTTCTTAGACTATCTCTGCCCAGAACCACGGTGAGTTTTATGCCCATCTACCAAACATCATAAGTCCCATCTTCACTGATGTTATATTTCGTATTGTAGAAGTGGCGAAATGGAAATTAGTGCTACTTCAAGTACCAAAAGTCGAGCAGTCCAAATTCCATCTCTCTACGATTCGTTCATTCATTTCGATGGTAAATTAACGCACATCATGTAAAATGTAAAGAAAATTGTGAAACTTATCCAAAAATACACAAAAATTTCTTAAGGATAGCTCAAAAAATCAAAAACTCAAAAAAAAAAAAAAAAGAAAATGCAAAAAGCGAAGTCATCATGGCCCAGATTTTAAACATTTTAATTTCTTGTTCAAAGCTCAACCATTTAGCACTGTTTTTCCAGGACGTTATCGAATGGTGAAAGTGTCTTGCTACTTGGTCAAAACGTTCAAACATATGCATAAACTATGAAAACTAAAAAAAAACACATACGGTATATATTGTGATGCTTTGAAACCATCAAAAGCAACTACTACCGTGTCCGATACATCACGATTGCAAAATGCCGCACTAACAGGCAATCTGAAACAAAAACTCAACATCGCCAAAATGAATGAGGAAAAAATGAGGGAAACGAAGATCTGGAAAGTACAAAAAGAAACAAAACCTCAAATTTTTCTGTGACTTTAACATACTTGTGATGCAAAAACGTATAAAAACAACAGAAAAAATGCTGCTTGGCTTCCAGATTTTTTCAGAGAACTCCAAAAAAAAGAAGTATCATAGTACTAGTTTCTATTTCAAGCACTAACACAGTCTGTGAAGTATCATTAGTGACATCGACAGCAAGGCAAATATGCTCCTGGAATAGCATCTTCCATGCAGTCTCACAGTGAAAACCTTTCAGCACATTATCCGCCTGTTTTATCCGTGAATTCAGCACATTCTAAAACATTTTTAGATTTATTAGTATTTCATTTTTCGTGTATAATTTTATATTTTACACGAACCGTTATTAATATCTTTATTACGCTAAGGAACGTTTGCTAAAAAGCAAATTTCTTTATCTGAAGATCAAAAAAACAATTTGAAAAAGAGAACAAAGCAAAACTAACAGCAATGCAGGCGGTGTTACAGGGATGCCTGGGAAGGCGATTCACGCATCGGAGCACTTCTTCCAGTACCGCTTCCTTGGCGTTCAATTCATCCTGTAGTTTTTTCACGGATTCTTTCATCTCGGTCAGTTTGCTGTCAAGTACTGACTGAACATGTCCCAAACCAGCTGCTTTTTCATCCATAACCATACAACGATGAACAGAACCCAAGGCAAGGAACCTGCAAAAACCTTTTCAAATAACTGATACAACTAAAAAAAACCCCATTAACTCCTCAAAATTGCACATTACCTATCAAAATTTTTCAGGAAAAATGAGTATATTCTGTACCGCACCCAAAGGCAAGTAGCACTGCTGTCGCGGGGAAGATCCAAGGTTCGATCCCACCCGTGGGGATTTTCCTCCCTGCTACATTCTTCTTATCTTATTAGTATCTAGGAATTTTTCCCGTTACTATATTCTGCTTACCATCCACAATTCCGTTCTTGTCCCTTCCCCTTGCTTCATTAATTTCAACCCCCCTTAATTCGTATTTATAAAATGATTAGAAAAGGATTGTAAGACAAGCAAAAAGTTACGGAACCTGCGTTATTATTTAGAACATTTTTTTCATAAAAATTTTCTAAATGACTTTTAGTTTAAGCCTTCTGAATGTAAGCATGACTCCGAATGGACACGTGAACGAAGAACTTGTTTTAATAATCAACCATTTATGTAGGCGAAATCGAACCGCAGCAAGAAAGAAATGTTTCGATCCATGAAATCGCGTGCTTTACGACATAACCGTCTCTCACAGACTAGATCCAGTTGTGTTGCTCGGTTAAAACATTTGCGACTTAATGGACCGAAACGTTTCAATTACAACTATTATTTCCTCGCATATTTAATAGATTTTGGTCCTTGCGATTTTCAACTTCACTATTACCTAATATCTATTCTTTGCGCATTGCTTTTACAAAATTCTGCCTAATTCTAATAAGTTAACCCTTAAAAAATGTATATGAAATACTGCAATTTATAACGAAAATCTCCTCCCTCGCTTGCACCGCACAGTTCCGAGCGATTCAGTGATAAAGAGATAAGCAGTATTTTCAACTTTAAATTAGCAAAAAACGCAAGAATTCATTGGCTCTCGCTTCAAACTTTTATCGCCCCGAATAAATCAGGCAAAATTTCACATCCCATCGCCATAAATTCTGGTCTTTGATGCACTATCTTAATTAGCTGTAGTTCAATTGTCCAGCTGCTTTGACCA